TGTTCCCCCTGGCGAGGAAGTCTGAGGTGACTTCTACGCTGATCAGGTGGTTGCTTACCACCCAGGACACTCGTGGTCGTCGTGTCAGCTGTCTCCACTCCGACCGCGGGGGCGAGTTTCGCTCCGGCATTCTCGCTGGATTCTGTCGCGAACAGGGCATTCGTCAGTCCTGGACGCTTCCGGAGTCCCCACAGCAGAATGGGGTTGCTGAGCGTCGCATAGGCCTGGTCATGGAGATTGCCCGCACCTCCTTGACTCACGCCCGTGCCCCCCATTTCCTGTGGCCATACGCAGTCAGGTACGCCGCGCACCAGCTGAACCTCTTCCCACGCGTCTCTCGGCCGGAGGCTTCACCGACCAGTCTTTGGACAGGGTCCCCTGGTATCGCGTCGAGGTTTCGTGTCTGGGGGTGCTTGGCTCTTGTCCGCGACACCTCCGCGGACAAGCTCTCGCCTCGCGCCGTTTCTTGTGTCTTCCTTGGTTTCCCTGAGGACTCCTCTGACTTCACCTTTTACCACCCTCCCTCTCACCGGTTCTTTGACTCCCGTGACGTCCGTTTCGAGGAGTCCACCCCGTACTACGTCAGGTACCCCAGTCGAGGTCTCCCGGTTCCTCCTCCCCCCCTCTTCCTGACAGCCGCTCCCCCGCCTGCTCCCCCGGTACAGCCTCCCCCCCCTGGTCCAGCCCCGTCTGGTGTGTCTCAGGCTAGCCCTCCCCCTTCGGTAGCCCCCCCTGTACAGCCTCCCTCCCCACAGTCTTCCTCGCCGCCTCCTGCAGGTGCTCCCTCTCGGGAGGTTGGTCCTGCGACTGTCCCTGTACAGGTCTCTGGTTCTGGGGGTGCTGGAGTTGGAGCTGAGCCGCGGGTTGCAGAGGACTCTTGTCTTCCGGGGGCTGGTACTGGTCGTGCGGAGTCTGGGGGTGCTGGTGCGGAGTCTGGGGGTGCTGCGTCTGGGGGTGAGGGTGTTCCTTCGGTTTCTGGAGAGCCTGGGTCTGGAGCTGATATTGGTGCTGCCTCTGGGGGTGGTGTGCTTGGTGCTTCGGAGGTCGACTCTGGGGCTGCCGCTGCCCCGGACACTACTCCTTCCCCCCACCCCTACCCGACCAGGTTCCAGGCTCGTGTTCGCCGTGCTCGTGAGGAGCAGCTGGAGTTGGAGAGAGAGGAGAGAGAGTTGCAGCGGCTCGAGGAGCAGGAGCGACAGCAGCAGGGGCAGCAGCCGCTGGAGCAGCAGCAGCCGCAGCAGCCGCAGCAGCAGCAGCTGCCGTCTCCTCCTCCTGTCTCGGGTCTTCGGACCCTTGGTCTCCCCTCTCCCTCTCCTTCCTCCTCCCCCTCTCCTCCCGTCTCTGGTCCTTCGCTTCCTCCTCCTGACCCCTCTCCCGCTGTTTTCCCTCGTTCTCAGTCTTCGTTGTCCCCTCCTTCTTCTCAGACTTGGGCCTCTCGTCGCTCCCCTCGTGCTCGTCCCTCGTCTCCTGTTCCCTTCACTGACCTTCGTACTGCCTTACTTCGTTCTAGTCCACCTCGTCCGTCTCCGTCTGTGCTTCCGTCTCCTCCTGAGTCGGCTCTCACTGCGTCGCTCCCTACTCCTGTCACAGACTACTACCGCACGTACCGTCCTCTTCTCTCTCGTGTTCTCGCCTCGCTTGTTACTCACCCTCGTGCCTCTGTGTCCTCTGTGTCCGCTCTTACTGCCGCAGTCACTGACTTTGCCTCTACCCGCCGCCTTGACTTCGCCACCGCTCTTGTGGCTGCTCCTCCTTCCAGTCCTCTGGCCGTCGGGGGTGTGTCTGCCCTTGGCTGTGACGCCCTAGAGGACAGGCAGTTTGAGCTAGAGTTCCTGGCCGCCGCTTCCCCTCATCTCTGTGCCATGCTCCTCGCCCCTGAGGGTGACCCCGACGCCCTTGACATTCCGACTCCTCGCACTTACGCTGAGGCAGTGTCAGGGCCTTGGGCCTCTCAGTGGAGAGCTGCCATGGACGCAGAGATGGCCTCCTACAGATCCACAGGCACCTACGTCGATGAGGTTCCCCCTCCGGGGGCGAACGTAGTCGACGGCATGTGGATCTACAGGGTGAAGCGGCCACCGGGATCTCCTCCGGTCTTCAAGGCACGCTACGTGGCTAGAGGTTTCAGTCAGCGCGAGGGAGTTGACTTCTTTCAGACCTTCGCGCCCACCCCGAAGATGACCACTCTTCGGGTGTTACTACACGTAGCAGCACAGAGAGACTACGAGTTACACTCTCTTGACTTCTCTACTGCTTTCCTTCAGGGCAGTCTTCACGAGGAGGTCTGGTTGCGTCGTCCCTCTGCCTTCACTGGCTCTTTCCCTCCTGGGACCCAGTGGAGGCTGAGGCGACCGGTTTACGGTCTTCGTCAGGCTCCTCGTGAGTGGCACGACACCCTGCGTTCTACCCTGTCTGACCTTGGGTTCCAGCCGTCTTCTGCTGACCCGTCGCTGTTCGTTCGTCGTGGCCCCACACCTTTCTTTGTTCTGGTCTACGTTGACGACCTTGTTTTTGCCACCCCTGACAGGGTTGCTTTGGCACACGTGAAGTCCGAACTGCAGAAGAGACACACCTGCACTGATCTTGGTGAGCTGCGCCACTACCTTGGCCTGCAGATCACCAGGGACAGAGCTGCTCGCACCATTACACTTTCACAGTCGCACATGGTGCAGCAGGTCCTTCAGCGGTTCGGGCTTCAGCACTCCACAGTACAGCGCACACCTCTTGCTGTTGACCACAGACTCACTGGACCCTTTCCTGACGAGCCGTTCGAGCCTAGTGGTCCCTACGCAGAGCTTGTGGGTTGCCTCATGTACCTGATGACTTGTACTCGCCCGGACCTCGCCTTCCCTCTTAGCGTTCTTGCGCGCTTTGTTGCGCCAGGGAGACACCGTCCTGTTCACTGGACAGCAGCTGTGAGGGTGGCGAAGTACCTAGCGACGACGTCAGGCGTGGGGCTAGTTCTTGGAGGGCAGCAGTCTGTCGTACTTACTGGTCACTGTGACTCCTCTTACGCTGACGACGCTGAGACTCACAGGTCTACTCAGGGGTACTGTTTCAGCCTGGGTTCTGGAGCTGTTTCCTGGCGGTCCACGCGCTCCTCTTCGGTCTCGACCTCTACAGCTGAGGCTGAGATCTACGCTGGTGCCATGGCGGCACAGGAGCTGCGTTGGTTGACCTTCTTGCTCACCGACCTTGGTGAGCGGCCGAGCTCTGCATCGACCTTGTTCACTGACAACAAGGCGTCTATTCTCCTTTGTCGAGAGCCACGACTGGAGAGCAGAGTGAAGCACATTCACGTCAGGTACTTTCTTCTGCGAGAGTTGCAGAGGCGTGGACAGGCTCGCTTTGAGTTTGTGGAGTCCGAGGCCAACACTGCAGACATCTTCACCAAGGCGCTTCCGCCTTGTGACCACCAGAGGTGCTGTGTGCAGTTAGGCCTTGTTGACACTGGTTCTCGTGTTGCTTAGGCTTGAGTGTACTGTTTACTTTGCTTTCTATATACCTCTGTTACTTCTTGGACTGGCCTTGTGGCCACTGTTGTTTGTGCTCAGACTGTGTGGTGACGTTGTGATCCACCCTGAGCTTCGTTTCTTGGACTGGTCTTGTGACCGTACTCGTTTGGTTCTGCTAGACACCCCTCACTTAGGCTATGGGGGTGTGTCAAATGTTGTAGCCTATAGTGAGGTTTGTCTTAGGGGGTACAAAACTTAGGGTTAGCTATATGTACCCCAACCAACATCAATGCATCATCCATTCCTCATTCTGACAGAAACATGGTCATGGTCAAGAAGCAAAATCTAGGGAATCGGGGCCCAATTGACCGCCAATAATCATTGAATGAAACAATCACAAAACAAACAAGAGGTGTGCAGTCTTGTTTGTTACAAAGAACTGCTTAACAATGTATTGCTATACTAGCAGCTTTAACCCATTTTTAAACCTTGAAGGCTGTGCACAAGATCACGGAAAATTGGATTTTTGTGCTTCTTACTCAGCAGAATTTGAAAAGGACTTGTAGTCAGCTGTAATCAACATTTTCATATTCTTGAAATATCTATCCAATATTCACCGTGTTGACAAAAAAATAATTAAGCTTTTCACTGTAGCCTAGAGTGTAAGTCTCGAGGGACATAACCGCTTTCCACGTGTCAGTTTGTTATTTCCTGCCTGTCAACCCTGGCAAGGCCCACCCTTTCCATGGCGGCTCGGGTTGTTCCATCCAGACCCAAGCAATCAGACCTGGCGGTGCGACATTCCCTAAGAAGCAAATCTCCATGGCGCCTCGAAAATGACGCAGGCGGGCCGCCATGGAGAATTGCAATTACACGCGTCCTGCTTACGGTTCTCCTCACATCACCTTATCCCAAGCTCGCAAGCCGCACTATTCTCAATGCTTATCCTGACGACTAGAGTTCACTTCTCGCTGCTGCAGTCTAAGCCTGAATAGTGGACCCAAGGTCCCCAAACAACCCACTCAAAGAAAGCCCAAACTGGCCTCGGGTTTCGTTCTTTTCCGGAGACTTGTTTCTGACGTCTCCTACTGTCACGTGCTCCTCGTGAAGTTTGTCATTCCCAATGCGCGTCAGTCTACTTTCTCTTCTCTTCCTCACTTGACGTCTCTTGGTTGCCTCTTTTTCGACAAGTCCGATCTCGAGTCAGATCTCGGCGTAATCGAGGGGAACACAGAAGGGATCTCTACGGAAAGGAGATTCTAAAGGCCACAGCTTATCGGTCTAGAGCCTCTCGTAACGACCGTGGATATCGGAGGATAAGGCTCTTTGAGTCTGGCTTCGTCTGAATCTTGCCGCTGAGGTAGCTCTCTCGCGCCTGTGAGCGTCATTTGAGATTCGCAACTTGGTCACGAGATTTGCTTTTCTCGCGCCTTTGATTCACTTCAGTTTACTGCGTATTGAAAGATTTTGTGAAGTCTCAAGATTCCATAATCGTATGTGTTTCTGAGACTAGCGAGTATGTCCGTGGCAGGGTTTCTCCGTGTAATGGACGCGTCCGTGCCGCACACCCAAGTCCAGGAGCACGCGTCGACTGCAGCGGAGGCACTCATGGAGCTCGGATTCCGCTCGACTTCGTCAGAAGAGATTGACGACGATTCTGAGCGGACGGTTGAACGGGCTGTTGCTGAGCCCGGGTCAGGGAATGGTGGTGATGAACGGGCAGATCAACGGGCGAATGAAGCGGATGGTACCCCGACAGCTGAACCGACAGCTGGAGGCGGCACAGAAGCAGTGACACCGAGGCCGACGGATCAAGACGAGAAGCAGCATGGTCAAGACGAGATTAAGGGTCGCTCCACTGCTTATGTCGCGGATGAGTCTCAGGAGGGAGAGGAGGCGGTCGTACTGCAGGAAGGTGGTGGCGAGAGAGAAAGAAAGGAGTTTGATGCACGGCAAGGCGATGTTGAGTGGCAGGCTTCGAACGGCACGGGGGAGGCGGGTGCGGATGGGGCGAACAATCAGGAGCGTGATAAAAAGGGGGGGAACGATGAGGCGGGTGATGAGGAGAACTTTGGGGACGTCGCCGGGTATGGGGAGAAGGAACGTGGTGCCAAGGCTCCGTCCCCGCCAGAAAAAATATCACCCGTGCGTGGCCACGCTGAGAGCCGCGCCCGGGGCGCGCAAGAGCACCTCGTGGCGACGCGGAGCAGCAACAGCCCTCTCACTCCCGCGGGGGCACAAACGCCGCAAACGGCAGAAGTCAAATCCGTGCAGACGCCTGCCACACAGCCGCCGCAGCACGCGCAGTCCGGGCTGGCGACCGTTCCTGGAGTGCCGATCCAGCCCGCCCTTCCGTTACATGGTAAGCCGATAACTCCAACTTTAGAGTCGTTTGGTTCGGAGCCGTCTCGATTTAGCCTATTGGCCCTTGCTTTCCGCTTGTCTAAGACTATCTCGGTTGCCTACAGGAAGTCGTCTCTATGGCTAATACCCTCCAGCTGTCTTCTTCTCCTGTGCGTTTTTCCCCATGCGCGATTCGTTCGTGCTTTCCCGCTGCCAGCTCCGGACGGCGCGCTGGTATCGCTCGTACCCGCCGCCTCCGAGGACGGCCAGATTCAGTGGATCCAGCCGCCGCAGTTCATGGCGGCGCCGCAATTTATGGGTGGAGCTCAATTTGTTGGCGGTGCCCAACTTATGGGCGGGGCGCAACTCGTGGGCCCGCCTGGACACGGCGTCGGGATGATGCCCGCGGGACCTGTGTCGTTCTTCCGCACATCGTCCTTTGCCGCTCCTGTTTCCGCGACGGGCATGGAGGGAACATTCATGGGGACCGATGGAGTCAACGGAGTCAACGCCACCGCGCGCGGCGTTTCCGGGGATCTGTTCGGCGGGAACGCGGGCGACGAGGTGATAGAAGGTTCGTGGGATGACCTGATCATCTGCACTCCCACTGGCGGGTTTCCCGGCGGGTTTCATGGGCAGATGGGTTGGGGAGGCGAGCGAACGAGCAGAGCGGGACGACGCACGCAGCTATGGGAGGGCGACCCGCAGCTGGTGTACCGACTGCAACAAAGTTACCATACAGACGACTCCGCCGCCGCCGACACGAAACCCGACCCGTCAACTATTGCCATCACCGGCACCGAAAACGCTTCGATTAGAAACGATTCGATAAGAGGCGACGGGGGCGAGGAGGAGGCCTTGCCTGCTGAATCTAGAGGCAATCAAGAGGCCTCCACGCCCCCAGGGATGGGACCAGAATCCCGGGATGTGCCACAGTCGACAGCGACAATGAGTTATCGCGAAGCTATGGCGAGCGGTCAGCTACCGCTGCATGTGAAGGTGGAATTCCCGACTCCGTCGCCTCGAGGCGGCGTGCCGTCGCCGAGCAGAGGCGGAATGGCGTCGCCTAGTCGCGGCGGGCTGGGATTCTCGTACCACTCGCCCATCCCGCTGTGCTCGCCGTCGCCGCTGCGACTGTGTGCGATGGAGCTGGGCGACATGGCGGAGCCGAACCTGTGGCTGTCGCCGCCCGCCAGCACCAAGTATACGCTCGACAAGCTCGGCGACTTCCCGCCGTTTTCGCCTCGGCTTCCGGCGATCGTGCGCGGCTACAGCGGTGAGTGCTGTGACGTGTCGAAATACAGCTGGAAATATTTCTTTTTTATCGTTAATTCCTTTGTGACAGCAGCACTTTACTTAACTCACAAGTCGTTTCGTGTGTCTGTTGGTGGTCGTGTGTGGCAGCAGCAGCCCTGCCGTACCTGGATCCCAGCGCGCACCAGCAGCCTTCCAGGATGTCGCCTTCCAAGGGAGAACCGCCGGGATTCGCCCCCCCCGGATCCGCCCCGCTGGGATCCGCCCCGCCGCAAGCGCCTGGCGGACCAACCGCCGACAGCGCAGAAAACCCGCCAGTTTCCGCTTCCGCCATGGGTTCCGCCGCTCCCCAGTCCGGTTCTCCGCGGGCAGCCAGGCGGGGAACGGCGGAGGGTGAGGGAGACGCCGCGCGGGAAGATATTCAGGCTGCGCGGAGGGAGGACGAGGCGGTTGATTCCGCGGGCGCGAGGCGGGAGAGTGGGGCGGCGGGAACGGCGCGATTGGTTAGTAGCGGCTCCCCGGGGAGCGGAGTGAGATACAGCGGGATGCGCGGGCGGTCGTTGCTGCAGCAGTGCCTCATTATGGGCGCAGAGCAGCGCGCCACGCGCGCCGTCACGGGCGCTGGTGCCGGTGGTAACGCTGCTGCGGGTGCTGGCGGTAACGCTGCTGCCGTTGTTGGCAGCAGATTTGCTAGTGCCGGCGGCAATGCTGACCCCGATATTGAAGGGGAAGAGAAGAATGAGCAGGCGGAAAATGCTGAGAAGAACGACAAGAACGAGGACGAGACGGGCGAGAGGTCTGGCGGTGATGCAGACGACCGTGCGGCGGGTTCGAGTCCGTCTGTGTTGAGATGGAGAGCGGTGGGGTGCGATGGCCGTCGGCTTGGCGACCGATGTGACGTGCGGTCAGAGCAGGAGAGGACGGCTCTTGGTGCTGCAGACTCGAATGCGCCGCACGCCTCTACTCCACCGCTTTCACCTCCGCCGGAGGCGCCTATAGATTTTGCGACTGCTGCTGGTTCTGGTGGCGTTCGTGCTGGCGGGGAGGGAGAGACAAATGTTGGTGGTGGACGTGGTAAAGATTTTCCCGGCACGGAAATGCGTGGGCAGGAGTCTCGGCGGCACGTTGCTGGAGCGCCAGGCGAGGTGTTTCGTCGCGAAAGCGATTTTGCGGATCGTGGCGAGAGTTTGTCGCGGGCGGATGTTACCACGGGCGGGAGGTCTTTCGTGGTTGGCTCGTTAGGCTCAACACTTACGGAACGCGTGAGTGTACTGGAACTCGAGAACAAACAAACAACGCGTGCGGGCAATAGCGAGGACGGCGCGACCGAAACTGCGAATTTTGATGCATCTAACTCCAGCGGCAACAGCCGTTCGTCATCGAATCTCGATAGTGGAGGCGCGGAGTCGAACGACGAAGGCACCGGTGAGGATGGGTCTGGGGTTGTTGAGAAGGAGGAGGGCGCGCGGGAGGAGGACGGGGGAGAAAGCAGGCTATCGGGAAGAGCTGCGACAACGAACAGTGCAAAACACGGCGCGGACGAGCACAATGCGAACCTTGGTGATCGGGGCGATGGTGAGAATAGGGTGGTCTTGCAGACTGAACGAGTGGGGCTGACGGCGGAAGACGGTACGCAGGCGGTGGGGACGCCTGCGGACGGTCAGCCGTCTCGTTTACCAGTGGGCGCGGAACGTAGGCGCGCGGAGCGCAAGGGCGCGGAAGGGGAGGGTGCGGAGCGGAAAGGCGCGGAAGTTAGATGCGGGGAAAGCAGCCCGGGAAAGGCCTCCCCGGGCTTGGTGAGGCCGCAGCCGCGCAGGGCGCGGAGTGGCGATCATGCCATCTCCCCGTCCTTCTCGATTCCCGCTTCCCCGTTTTTCGAATCCCCCCGTTTGGCGGCGCTTGAGGGCAATGCGCCCCAATCTGCTGGTGAGGAGCGAGCGTCCGCGCAGGCGCCGCTGCTGCAGCCCGTGGCGAATGTTCGTCAAGTGCAGGCTGCGGCACAGTCACATTCGGGGAAGCACCAGGAGCATGGTGAAGCAGGGGGGCCGGTTTTCGAGTCGACTTCGCAATTGAGTGGTGGGAGTGAGGGGGGTGGGAGAGGTGCGCGTGAGGAGAGCGCGACATCTGACGAAGTACGGGCAAAACTTTCCGGGTTAGGCGAGGGCGCAAAGCATGCCAAATCTCAGGAGTCTGGGGGAAGAGGAGGAAGAGGAGGAGTAAGTGGTGGGGCTGATTCGGGAAACGGACGTGGTGTGAGCGGGACTGCAACAGCAGGCGGGAGTGGTTCAATTGTTCCTTGGCATCCCGGCAGCTCACCTGCAGCTGTTAATGGGCCTGCTTGTATGGGGTTTCCAGTGTACTCGCCGCAAATGCCCCCCATTGGCAGCTTCTTTGTAATGAGCCCTCTCACACAGCAGCATATGAGTCCCATGCAACAGAATTATCAACAGCATCAGCAGCAGCAGATGCAGTTCTCCCTGCCGCAGCAGCATCAGATCTACAACATGGCTCCTCAGCAATACTACGCTCTCCCGCCCCAGCAGCAGCAGTACATACGCCCACAGCCACTTGCCCAGTCCCCGCCAACGCCCCTGCCCCCACCAAGGCCTCTCCCGATGGTCGTGGCTTCTCCCCTTGGCCACAGCTCCCAACGCCTCCCAGGTTCCCGTGGGGTGCAGGGAATGCACGGGCAGCAGGGCGTGGGACCAGGGGCGCATTTCCTGCCTGCTTCCTCTGCAGCTGCGGCTACTGGAGGTGGTGCTGTGGGTGGTGGTGCTGGTGCAACTAGTGCTTCCTCAGGTGGTGCTTCAGGAGGGGGCGAACGGGTGGCAGGAGGTGAGGGAGAGCGAGCCGAGGGAGGGCGAGGGGAGGGAGGGCGAGCGGGCAAGGTGTCACGAGGAGCACGAACCCCTTCCCCCCAAACCTCAGCAAGCGCATCTTTGCGCCCTTCCCCCGTGCAACCCCCCCCTCCCCCTGTCTACTCCCCAGCTGTCGCCTCCTGGGTGCCCTTCGCCCTGCCCCCTGCTGCCTCTGCTGGCTCTGCTGCCCCGGAGGTGGGTAAGCTTCCTATTTACCCTGTCAAACCTGGGGCACTCAAGGCGCACGATGTGAGGAAAAACGCTCAGCAGCAGCAAGCAGAGGGGCAGCAGCGACAGCAGCCGCAGGCGTTTCAGCAGCAGGCACTGTTGGTGCCAAGGCCTATGGCAGTGGTGGGTAATCAAGCACAGCCAGTGACTCCCGGACAGATGCGAATGGCACCAATGGTTGCACCGGCACCGGCACTAGCAATAGCACCACCACCACCGGCGGCAGCAGCTCCAGCAGCAGCAGTAGCAGCAGCAGCAGCAGTGGCAGCAGCAGCAGTGTCACGCCCAGTGTCTCTCGGGTTATCTCTGCAAAGCACCAGCAGGAGCGGCAGTGGTATGACTGTGCAGCAGACCCTCGGACCTCAGACAGTACCTGCTGGGGGCCAATGGGGCCCCAGGTCCTCCCAGCCGACTGCTGCTTCTGGGGTGATTGCCCCCACCGAATCCGTTTCTGGCGTGCAAGTAACTCCCCCTGGTGCGGTGCAGAGTGGTGCTGCAGGTGTGGTGCAGGGTGGTGGTGCGGTGCAGAGCGGTGCGCCTGGTGCGGTGCAGGTTGATGCAGCAGGGGAGGCACGGAGGCAGAAGCAGCTGCAGGCGCATGAGTTGAGGCGGCAGAGGGTGCTGAAGATGCACCAGCAGCAGCAGCAGCAGCATCTGCAATCCCCCACACAGTTCCCACAGTTGGCTGATTTGCAACAGCACATTCAAAAGCAGCAGCTGCACGTGCAAAGCCAGAGGCTCCAGCTGCCGACTCAGCAGCAGCAGCAGCAGCAGCAACAACAACAGCAACCACCGACCATCTCAGCAGCAGCCGGGGCAGGTGCAGGTGCAGGTGCAGGCGCAGCAGCAACAGCAGCAGCAGCACATGCAGCTGCAGGTGCCAAGGCTTGCGGTGAGAGTGAAGCAAGAGATGGTCGAACAAGGTGGGGGCGCAGACTGGCGCTATCACCCACAGGCACAGGCAGCTAGACAGGGCGATAACCAGGAGCCAGCTGGCAGGCAGGAGGGAGTGGAGGCAGAGGGAAGGTCGGGCGGGGCGAAGTGGGGGGAGGGAGAGGGAGGGCAGCAGGCGGGCAGGAAGGAGGGCAGTCTGAGGCATTTGAAGAGAAAGAGGGCGTTGAAGGAGGTGGAGGTGGAAAATGGGAGAGGGGCGGCTTTAAGGGCTTGTAGCAGTGAGGGGGAGTCGGGCGGGGGAGCTGCTTATCAGCAGCATTTGGGTGCTTCTCAGCAGAATGTGGGTGTTTTCCAGCAAAATCAGGGTGCTTTTCAGCAGCAAATTTCCCCTGCTTATCAGCCTATCATGCCTGCGTGTCAGAACCAGCTGGCACCTTACCAGCAGGCTGCTTATCAGCAGATTCCGGCTGCTTATCAGCAGATTCCGGCTACTTATCAGGGCCAACAGGCGGTTGCAGGGATGGAAACAGGTGGCAATCCTGCTGACGTCATGGAGGGGAGGGAGGATGACGTCATGGACATTGAATTGGATGGATTGGGGGATGAGGGCATGTGCGGCATGGGGGAAGGGGGGATGGGGATGTGCGGCATGGGGGATGGGGGAGGAGGAGGGGGAGAGGCAGCGGTGGGAGGTCGGGAGGAGGTGAAAGAAGCAGTGAGTGCAGCAGCAGGAGGAGTGGGGGGAGGAGCGGAGGGGGAGAGGGATCCCCCTGTGAAGTCGAGGTTTAGGGGCGTGAGTCATCACAGGTCAGCACTCATTCATGATATGTCAATGCTGAGTCATCACAGGTCAGTGCTGAGTCATTTTAGGCTCACTTCCTGTTGTCGCCAGCTCTTCCGGCTCTAGCTCTACTTCACTCTGCCGCCCCTTCTCCCGTTTTCCTTTGACTTTACCTCACCCTCCAGGCTGACCAAGAGATGGGAGGCATCGCTTTGGACCAACAAGAAGCAACTCTACTTGGGTGAGGGGATGAGGGTGAGGGGATGAGGGTGAGGGGATGAGGGTGAGGGGATGAGGGTGAGGGGATGAGGGTGAGGGGATGAGGGTGAGGGGATGAGGGTGTGGCTAAGGGCGAGTGAGTGAGTGGTGAGGTGAGAGGGTGAGTGAGTGAGAATGCGAGAGGGTGAGTGGGTGCTTGTAATAATCCCACTCACCAGTCCGTCTTATGTTTTTGTGCTCAGCTCACACACACCGATCCCTCCTCTCACTCCACGCAGGTGGATACGATGCAGAGGAGAAAGCAGCGCGGGCGTACGACATAGCAGCATTGGCGTGCAAGGGAGCAGAGGCGATCACCAACTTCCCACGGGAGAGCTATGCGGACAGCATCGGAGAGTACCTTGGGATCTCCTGTGAAGCCCTGATTGCGAAGCTGCGCCGGGAGAGCTCGTAAGTTGTTCGGTTCATGCTCTCATTATCACCAACTTTCCGAGGGAGAGCTATGCAGACAGCATTGGGGAGTACCTTGGGATCTCCTGTGAGGCGCTCGTTGCAAAGCTGCGGAGGGAAAGCTCGTGAGTCGCACTTGATGCTTTCACATTTCTTGCTTACACATTGTGCAAACGGAAGAAGAATCTGCAAATGCCTTTGCCAAATGCGAGAAGGTTCTCAAGCTATCTAGCAGAACAGTTGCCCTTCAGGTATTGCGACTCTTCACCATTTTTCACTGTCTGGCCGCCACTCTCATTCGCCCCTTGCCTGTTCCTTCAGGGCGTTCTCTCGAGGCCGGTCCAAGTTCCGCGGGGTGTCGGGGCAGGAGGGGCGGTGGGAGGCGCGCATTGGGTCGTATTTCGGGCGGAGGAACGTGTCTTTGGGCGTGTATGAGACGGAGGAGGCGGCAGCCGAGCAGTACGACCGCGCGCTCATCATTCAGAAGGGCACCCGTGCCAAGACCAACTTCTGCATCTCCAAATACATAGCTGAGCACCTGCAGCACGTGAGTGTGCGTGTGAGGATGACCGAGTGTGGGGGAGAGTGAGTGTGAGTGCAAATGGATCAAGGCGCATCGGGTCGTATTTCGGGCGGAGGAACGTGTCTTTAGGCGTGTATGAGACGGAGGAGGCGGCCGCAGAGCAGTACGACCGCGCGCTCATCATTCAGAAGGGGACCCGGGCCAAAACCAACTTCTGCATCTCCAAATACATTGCAGAGCACCTGCAGCTCGTGAGTGTGAGTGTGTGCGTGTGCGTGTAAGTGCGAGCTTGAGAATGAGTGTGTGAGTGCGAGTGTATGAGTGTGTGAAGGTAAGATTGACTGCGAATGCCGACAGCACACGTCAGAGTTGGTTGTCTTGACATTTCACACGTCATCTGTATGCATGCACATGTGTATACCCATGCATATGCACATATATACACCCATGAACATGCACATGCATAACAAAATGTATGCTCACATGTGTGCTCGGGTAGAGGACTCGTATGAGTGGTGCATTTCAACGGTCCTTCTCCGTTGGTGGTGTTTCAGGAGCAAGGGCAGGAGGGAGCGCTGTTTCCCAGCCAGCAGCCCCAGTCATCAGGCAGCAGAGCATGCCTTCCCACCACTGCAGCAGAGTTCAACCTTGCAGCAGCACCACCACCACCATCATCTGCTTACCCACTTTCAGCTGCAGTGGCAGCAGCTGCTGCCGCAGCAGCAGGAGGAGGATCAGCAACTGCGGACGGGCATGGTGGGGTGCGGTTTGGAGGGGTGAAGAAGGGTCGAATCACTCCAGGCTTTGATGCGCTGTACCGCCGAGCAATGGCGGAGATAGTGGCTAGCTCAGCCCTGCCTTGCCCTGTGGACGACCCAGAGGGTAGGCCTGCTGTGGAAGAGTGAGTGACGGCTCCGCCGGAGTTGAGTTGGGTTTTGAGTGGCTTCAGGGAGAGTAGCTGGTGGGGTATTGCTTAGTACTCCTATTCTCCCCCTCTTGCTGCTGAAGTGTGGGCATTGCTATGGAGGAGTTATTGCTGGTTTTCTTACCTTGGAAGCCGAGTGGTTTGTTGCACTGAGCGGAGCTGATTAGAGCTGTGGCGGATGTGTGGTCAGGCCAGTCCCAGCCATGCTTTTGTTGTCAAGGGGGTGGGCCTGTTGTGGATGGGTGGCGTGGCTGCTCCACAGATGCTGGTGGCAAGAGGATGACTGCTTGGAGGGCCAGCCCGCCAGCAGCATGGTAGAGTGGAGACTTCACACTATTGACAACTTCATGCATACCATCTATGCACACCAGTTAGCCGCATTTGAAGTACTGTACATAGAATCGACAATTCTTTTGTTGCTTTTCAATAAAAGTTGCAACGCCCTTCCTCTAGTGTAACATTCTCTATGAGATTTGTCGGATATATACCCGTCTGTCTGATGTCAACAACACTACGGTATTACTGCACACTAGTGGTGGACTTTGAAGCGTTTTTCCTGAAAATGGTACAGCCAGCTAGTTTCGCCAACCATGAGTCACCCATGTAAGGAGTAGGGATGAAGGAATTGCTGCTTTGTAGCTCCAACAAATGCTGCTGCTTCTGCGTCTTGCTTTTGTGTGACTCTTAGCCCAGCGCAATACAGTGCTACTAAACCATGAAAGAAATCCACATTGTAAGTGATTCGTCAAGTGCTTTATTCTCCTTCTGCCTTGAGTATAGGCACCACAAGAGGGTGCATCTGTGCCATGTACACTATCGCCCACCTGTTACAAACAGGTTCACGCACATAAGAAGCACAACACATATGCACAATAAGATAAAAATACACGGAATGCAGGAGAATGGAACCCTGATGCATGTAAGCGGAAAATAAAAAAGCCTCCTGTTGAAAGGACTCTCATACGTTATTTAGGCATATGACACACACACATGCATGCAACTTGGCCGCATAGCAATCAGACACATGATACAGGCATGATGAGAGACATAAACGGGGCGTGGGAATGGTGTGAGTGAGGAGCATAAGCAGGCTGGGAAAAATGTAAAGATTCACACAGGAGCTTTGTGAGCTGTGTGAAAATAGCAATGTGAGAATCGTCAGGCGGCAGAAATAGAGGGCTCAGAGAGCAGAGAGGGAATGCGTCAATACAATTGGCTTGAGAGCACTCACGAGAGCCAGCAGCAGATGGTTGCGGTGATGACCAGCGTGACATGCAGCCTGGCTTGCGAACAGACGAGAGGACACGAGCAGGGGAAAGAACGAACATGGGTTGACATTCAGTAAAATATTTATGTTCACGAAAATCGTAGGGTGCTGGGAGGAAGGGAGGGGATACTAGGAACAGAACCTAGGGGTAAGTGATGAGGACAGGAATGGTGAAAAGCAATGAAGGGCAACGGTTCAAGAAGCTAATAGAAATCATGGGAGTGCAACGATGATGCAAAAGGAACACAGAAATGTGATAATAAGGCGATTGAAAATCGCCGGGCCTGGATGAACGCACAGGTTCGTTGACGGGCCTTTATCGTAGAGGACCCTAACGAGAACGCAGCCTAGAAAGCCGAGCGCGAAGAAGATGAGAGTGATGACGAGAAACGCTGCCATGCTGGTAACCGCGTAACACTCGTTGGGCCGTTCAGTGAAAATCCTAGATCAGGCTCTCACGGTCGCGAAAGACGCAGCCTGTAATGAATGAGCACGGGGAACCAAAGGAACGCGACATTGCGTGTGACTGTCCGCTAGATCCGATTACGACGTTGCTCAAATGACAGCAAGAACCCGTGATCAAAACACTCGTAGACCATCAGACGCTTGGGATTCGGACAAGCGGAACAAAATCATAGATGATACTTGAACTCGTCAGTAAGAAAAAATTGCTAGGCCTAGGAAGACGAACCTGCGAAGAGCTTGGCACGTCCTTACTACGGCGTTAAAAGCTCGAATCGATTGGTGAAGCAGTCCAGAGTCCACCTTCCAGTGAGCTCGCAGTAAATACAGGGAGAAACAGACGGTAAGAAACTCTAGTGCCAGAATCGTAGCTGTCCGAGAAGGGTGGTAGAAGCACCGCGATGTGCCTGATCGTCGAATGCGGCAATACCTATGTCAGCTGACAACGCGGTGAAGCATAAGACGGGTGTTGTACGCGGTAAGAACTTGAATAGGCTCTCGGTATTATTATGGACGTCAGAGAATCGGTAATGAAATTGTTTTGAAAGAGTCTTGGATATCACACTACCCATCAAGTCATTGATCAAGGTTTTGTGTGGTGCAAACGAGCACTTCTGTGATGTGGGTTATTAGGCAATATGTCACATAACAAGAAAGTCACGCCAGGTTTTGGGGCGACACAGATCTTATACACGCCAGTAGAATCCTTGCCATGACATCATGCCAGCAATAAGTGACCAAAAGAGTGCTTTGGAACCGGCCGTCATTATAGCTGCTGTTTTGGAGTCGTGGCCTGCCCATAGCAGCAGATTATGTAGAAGCGACACCTGGAATAACGAACGCATTGACAGCGGGATGCAACAGATAGAAAAGGTGGGAAAGCAGATGGATGCGTGGGAGGGAGGGAGGGGCCGAGGGAGGAAAGGGGGAAAGGGAGTGTTGGTCAAGCCATGGGAATGATAGTTCGTAGAATGCACACTTGAATGCTCACTTACGAGGTTTTTCTGTGGATCCTCCCAGTAAAAGCCAGCAGCGATGGAGGAGAGGAGGGGGGTGGCACAGGTGAGGAAGAGGAAGAGGGAGTTGCGGCCCATCCACTCAAAGAGCAGCGTGTAGAAGCACACCCCTGCTGCATCCACCTGGGAGAGACGCGTGTAAAGAACAGGAGAAATAACAGAAGAATGTGTGCGCCGGTTAGTTGGGAACGCAAAAGGTGAACATGGTGTTAGCCAGATGGAGTATTGCATACAGAATCGTATCTAAAATGTAAGAGCTTGTTGGTGACAGGAGGGTGCTTACAAAAAGGTAGATGAGAGCAAAAAGGAGTGCAGCAGCTCCTGCTGTTATGAGGACATAGCTTAGCGAGTACAGCTGAGCATTGAAAGGCAGCCCTGAGGGATGAAGATACAAGAACACAAAAAGAAAGATCACATAAGGTGCCAGGGTGTGATTTGGCAGCGAAGGTTACCACCAAGGAAAGCGCTGTGTGGAAATAAATATGGGAAAGGAGGTGAACTGTACCAGGATAGGATATGTCAAGCCACTCAGGGATGTTTGCATGGGGGATGGCGTCGTGGAGGGAGAAGGAGAAGGGGAACTGGAGGAGGAACCCGGCCGCCATGAGGAGAGCAGAGAAGAGGAGGCAGTTGATGATGCGCGCTGCATGGCTCTGTGGTGGACCGTGGAGGGTGACAGGACGAGAAAGGGAAGGAAAAGGAAGAAAAACGAGATGAGCTATGAGAGAATGCGGGATTCAGAGCAGGACAAATAGTGAGACAAGAAGGTCAGTAAAACAACAGGGGGTGAGAAGGAGACTTTGGAAACGGGGTAAGGTGGTTAGAGAAGATGGCCTACTGGGTATGGAAGCTGGATTCACCTGGAAGCTGGTGATGATGTGGCCCAGGTGCAAGCCCATGAAGGCTGTGAGTGTGGCACCCAGTGTGCTGGTGAGAGGTAAGGGAAGATGCGAGGCGGAGAGAGGGGTCAGTGGGTATGAGAATTGTTTCAGAGATGCATTAGGTACTGAGAGCAGGGAAAGGGAAGGTAACGAATGAGGAGTTGGATTGTAAAAAGGGTGGAGGCGAAAAAACTTACCCTCGTTCACACGCCAAGCCCCACCACCCCAACCCTCGGCACGCCCAACCCCAACCCATGAACCTCTCCTTCATGCCCTGCCCTCACCTGAGCAGCCCCATGGGCTCAAAGGGCGCAGAGCACCACACAGGGAGAGCCTGGTCGATTCAGCAAATGACTCAAAGGCCCATTTTCAAACCCTTCCTGCTCCCACCTAGACAACATTAACATCACCTGCCCTCACCTAAGCAGCCCCATGGGCTCAAAGGGCGCAGAGCACCACACAGGGGGTGCCTGGTCGCCAGAGGATGGGAGGGCGAGGAGTGAAGGCGGCGACAGGGGAGTGGAGGGCACACCGCACACCTGCAGCAGGGAGGAGAAGGCAAAGTGGAAATGGACAAGGCAACGTGGAAATGGACAAGGCAGAGATAGCAGAAAGAAGATGCGTGTTGCAGAGAGGACAGAGAGGTAGAGGGCTTTCAGGCATGCCTTCAGGAATGCCTTACAGACGTGAAAAGATGGGCGAGCAGAAGTTACACTGGTACAGTACACAAGCACAGGCACATGTGTGAAGTGCCTGGCAATGCGGAAAGCTTACAGGCAGGTGGATGTAGGGAGGCGAGGCGAGGAGGTGATTGGTGGTGAGCAGCAGTCGGTCAATGTAGCCCGCAGCACTGCAGGCAGGGGAGAGGTCGCCAGTGCGAGAGCACACCACCTGATGGGCATTGGGGAAGCAGTGCACATGGCGATATTGAAGTGGTGAACATCGGCAGGAGCATGGTGGGCAGCAAGGCTCGGAGTTGCAGGCAGGAAGGCACGCAGGCAGGCATGCACTGAATCGAGCAGGGAGAAGGGAGTTCAAATGGAGTTAGGTGGGCTCTGGAAGGGTGCGAGAAGACAGGCTCTTACTAACGACCATGGTTGCAACTGTGGCAGAAACAGGTGCTTGACAAGGCCGTATACCTTCCTGTTGCATGCTATTTTCCCTTGTGCCCTGTTCACTGACCAGAAATTCTGGAGACGTGTTGCTGGCAGGTGACGCAGCGTGGGGAAGGAAGGTCGCGTTGACGGCAGAGCGGGACGCGGAGGAGGTGGGGGGAGTGAAGGTCCAGTCAGGCACAAAGAGGAGGAAGGTGAGCGCGAGGTAGATAGCTGCTAGCATGAGCGACGCCTGCCTGGAGGGGTTGGGACACGCGCCCATGTAGGGATTTGGGAGGTACATGGGAGGGGAGGAGGAAGGTGAGCGTTAGGTAGATAGCCGCTAGCATGAGCGACGCCTGCCTGGAGGGGGTATGTGGGCAAAGGAGAGATGCTGACAGGTTAACATGGCACGAAGAGGAGGATGGTGAGGGCGAGGTAGATAGCCGCTAGCATGAGCGATGCCTGCCTGGAGCGGTTGTGTCATGCGGCAAAGCAGAGATGAAGAAAGGAGGGAGGTGAATCATGAGAGGGAGGAAAAAAGGCTTAGGGGGGCAAATTGCAGCTAAGAGGGGAATGTGTAACCAGAAAATCTCATGGTATGGGGAATCATGCAGTGGACTGAACTTGAGAGCGCACTGACCAGGTGAGGAGGGAGAAGGATAACAAGCCGGATAGCCCCTCCCCGTATCCGTCTGTGTGGCTATCCTTGGGCGCGGAGGGCAGCACCTACCCCAGTGCTACCACTGTGTACGAGTCTGGTAACTATTCGTGTGAGGCACTGACCAGGTGAGGAGGGAGAAGGAGAGCAGGTCGGATAGCCCCTCCCCGTATCCCTCTGTGTGGCAGTCCTTGGGCGCGGAGAGCAACACCTGCGCCAGTGCTACTACTGCGTACGAGTCTGGTAACTGTTCAAGTGAGGCACTGACCAGGTGAGGAGGGAGAAGGAGAGCAGGCCTGATAGCCCCTCTCCATATCCGTCAGTGTGGCTATCCTTGGGCGCGGACAGCAGCATCTGCGCCAGGGCTACCACTGCGTAGGCCACGGCTATGCGCTGCAGCGTGCCACAGATGCGCATGCGCGTCAGACTGATGCCGAAACTCAGGTCCCCTGCTCTGTGCAGGAAGCCACCTGGAAGGTGCCGGAAGGTGGAAGGAGAGGCAAGGGAAAGGTCGGTGTGTGGTGATAGAGGGTGTGCGTGAGTGAGAGAAGAAGGGTGTGAATGAGAGGAGAAGGGTGTGAGTGAGAGGAGAAGGGGGGAGTGAGAGGAGAAGGGTGTGAGCGCGAGGGAAGGGGTATGACTGAGAGGCCGGGGAAGAAAACCTGGGTGCAGTGAGTGGGAAGGCAAGTGCATAACAGGTAAAAGGTACAGGTGATATGGGATACGCCTCTGCGAGTTCTGAAGCAGGCAGAGACACGCTGGCAATGCTCGAGATACAGTCCAACAAGGTTGCTGTTGAAGGCATGCAAATGGAGGGAGAAATTGACAGACCTTCAAGGAAGAGGCCGAGGAGAAAGAGGCAGCAGGCACGCCCGAGAATCTTATGCACGGCCGCAGTGCGGTTGTGCACGGCTCTGAACGTGAGCGCCGCTGCAGCGCCCGAGGCGAAGAGGAAGAAGGGAGCAACGAGGTCTCCCAGCTGCAGGCCGTCCCAGGGAGACACTCCCACCCACGGCACCTCGGAACCCACGTCCAGCGCCACTATCATGGCCTGCAGGGAGGAGAGGGAGACGGAGAGGAAGGGGGAAGGGATAAGGTCTCCCAGATGCAGTCCGTTCCAGGGAGATACTTCCATCCCCAAGAAGATAACCTGTGATGCGCTGTGGGGATTCGAGAGAGTTTGATTTGATGCGACAGCCAGACAGTCAATGACTGTGCGAAGCATTGGAAACATGTTCTTGAATGGGGGAGCTTCGCAATGCTGTCGTCATTGGCTTGGGGTTGGGATGCTCGACATGGCTGGGATGCTCGACATGGCTTGGAATGCTCGACATGGCTGGGATGGTCGACATGGCTTGGAATGCTCGACATGGCTGGGATGGTCGACATGGCTGGGATGCTCGACATGGCTGGGATGCTCGACATGGCTGGGATGCTCGACATGGCTGGGATGCTCGACATGGCTTGGAATGCTCGACATGGCTGGGATGGTCGACATGGCTGGGATGCTCGACATGGCTGGGATGCTCGACATGGCTGGGATGCTCGACATGGCTTGGAACGTGAATGCGAGTAAGTGGCGCTGGAGATTGCACGGCATGACGACACGAGCCCGCAGGTGTGAGTGGTGATCGTTGAGTAGACTGGAGCCTAGATTGGCGTACTTACGACGATGCACATTCCGCGAAAAACGTCGAGCGACGCTAGTCGAACGGGATGCGCCACGTGCGACGTGCTCTCATCGCAGGGAACGTGATGCGACGGGAGGATGGGGCCCATGCGACTGTCCGAGCGAAGTAACGGCGAGATCAAGCCGTCCTCCATGGCTCTGCGACGCTCGGCGAGGCTTTGCAATATCTGCGACGCGTTGCGATCAGGCTACCTAGCGACTGTCGTCTACCCGCTTGAATTTCCCGCGACGACGACGCCTTATGTGAATGACGCCATGATAGCACAATATTCTTAGTAATAGTTTTTTCAAGCCAGTAGCCTGGAGAATGATCGAGAATAATTCTTATCGGCACGGCGGATTAGACACCGTATGGTAATGGTGCTCTGGTGACAGACCAGGCGATGATGTGAATCCTGTCAGGCATGACAGCACATGGATTTCAGTAAAATTCCCTCCAACGGCTTGCTCGGTTCCCTTTTGAAATTCCCAGGAATTCCCGAAGCTCCACCCTTGGTTGGAAAGTGCTGGGGTCTTTGTCGATTTACGTCCTCCACTTGACAAATATAGCCACGAACTATCGAAATCATAGGTACATTATTTTGATGGAGACGACTGTAACGCGTTTGGTTCCACGTTTCTCCCCAACCTCACGAACCTAGGACTGTCTTCCGCACCGCTGGGTTTTCGAAAGCGGAGGGCAAATAGTAGACTTATTGTGAGAAAGATCTGCCTGCTGCGGGTATTCGCTCACGTTATCGAATTCAATGCCGGTGACTTCCGTAGAATCGGGCTCGAAATTAGCTTCCACCACATCGAGATGGCCTCGCGTTTCGAGTCAGCGTTCATCAATGCCCCTGCATTCGCTGCTCCTGGTCGCACCGTTAATTCTCATCCTGCTTGTCATACCACGTCCGGCGCCGCGCGAAATCTCCACCGCCTCCATCGCCACCACGGAGCGGCGAAAGCTACTGTTTTCGCTACGGAAGCCCAAGGAGTGCGAGGGGCCGAACGGCACGATGGCGAATAGAATCATCCCCATGGACGCCGTTGCGAGGCAGCGCAAGCTGGTGGGGGGTTGGCGGCCGCGGAAAGGGAAATACATTCTAGCGCTCTGCACTACTGGCAGACTGACGAATCAGGTACTGGGGAAAGATCCTGACCAATCAGGTGCCAGAGGGACGGAGACTGGCCAATCCGGTATGGAAAAGTGAGCCATCTCTCGTTCGGCTCCACCCCACCCAGAAATTCTCCCATTTCCCCCTCCCTCCTTGCCCCCTCTCTTTCCCCTCTTTCCCCTCCCTCTCCCGCTCCTGTTCCACATGTGAGACATCTCAAAGCCACCTTCCGTCCACCCTTTTCCCCCCTCGTCTTTGTCCCCCGCCCCGCAGAGCAGCAGGAGTGCATAATGACCTACTTTATATTCGCCGTCCTATTGAACCGCACGCTTCTAATCCCGCCCATCGACTTCTCTTGACTCCACTCAACATTCACCTCCCTCTTCTCATCGCCTCCTTCTCTCCCTTCTCTAACCCTCCACCCCACCCCCCCTCCCCCTCCCCGCAGAGCAGCAGGAGTGCATAATGACCTATTTCATTTTCGCCGTCCTCTTGAACCGCGCGCTGCTAATCCCGCCTCTCGCCGCCTCCTGATTCGACTCAGAATTCACTCCCTCTTTCCCTTCCCCCCCTCTCCTCCCGCTTCCGCAGAGCAGCAGGAGTGCATAATGACCTACTTCATCTTCGCAGTCCTCTTAAACCGCACGCTACTAATCCCGCCACTCGCCGTCGCCCAGCACACCGGCCTCAACCTAATCTGGCCCTGGACCGCCGTCTTTAATCTCCCAAGGCTACATACCTGCCTCTCGCCCTCCTACGGCCCCCTCACCACACTCCTACTACCGGACTACCTCTCCCGATCCCACTCCGTCCATGCTTACGTGGCACACCTGATCTGCCTCAAGCCCACGTGTAATCATGAGTGGACGCTGCGAGTGCTGCTGCGGGAGGTGCCTGAGATCAAGCTAGCAAACAAAAAAGGCCGCCCAGTAGCTGTGAATCAGAGCTTGGTGGATAGGATGGGGAAGGTTCAGCTGGAGAAGCTTCTAGAAGCGGTGAGGGTGGTGGAGGGGGAGGAGGAGAGGGCGGAAGCGGAGGAGGGAGGAAGCGCGGAGGAAGGGGAAAGTCACGCTGTCTCTTCAGGTGGAGGGCAGGCGAAGGAGCAAGCAGGAGAAAGTGGGGCAGTGGGAGGAGAGTCGGCAGCAGCAGGAAAAAGTGATGCTACGGGTGCAGCAGCAAGAGAAAGTGGTGGAGAGGCAGCAGCAATGCGGAGACGGCTGGATGAGGTGGGCAGTGGAGCAGAGGAGACAGGTGCGCAAACACATGAAGGTGTGGCTGCTGCAGCATCCCAGGCAGCACCGGCTTTGACTGGCCACGCATTGGCTACAGCAGCAGAATCATTAGGCGCAGTAGCAGCTGCTGCAGCAACCATCGACCCAGCTGCTACAGCATCAGCCGCATCACCTGCTGCAGCGTTGGCTGCAACATCTGCAGCAGCGCCTGTGCCAACAGCACCAGCTGTGGCTGCGCCAGCTGTAACAGCAGCAGCTGCAGTGGCAGTACCAGAAACACCTGCTGCTGCTGCAGCAGCAACACCACCTGCATCTGTGGCAGCAGCAGCAGCGGCACCTTCAGCTGCCGCAGCCGGCACCACCGCTGACAGCAGTGAGGAGGAGTCGAGTCTGCCTGCCGGCCACATCCTCACGTTCGGAGATTTGGCGGGAACGTCTGTAATTGGCCACGACTGGCTGCTGGAGTCCGCACTGCCCCTAGTCTCAGTCCCTCCGGGCTGCAGCAACCTGTGGCGGCCGCATGCTGCTGTGATGGAGTTCGTCGATGGCTTTATCGCGACCCACCTCGTTGATCCCTTTATGGCCGTGCACCTCAGGAGGTGAGTGGCGGTTTAGTGTGGGTGCAAAGAGGTGAGTGGGTGCCGCACTGCCCCCTCATCACAGTCCCTCCGAGCTGCAGCAACCTGTGGCGCCCGCATGCCGCGGTGATGGAGTTTGTGGATGGATTCATTGCGACCCATCTTCCGTCTCCATTCATGGCCGTGCACCTCAGGCGTTGAGTCCACTGCGGTGCCGAAGCGTCTGCTATGCTGCTCCTCGTCACAGTCCCTCCGGCCTGCAGCAACCTGTGGCGGCCGCACCCAGCTGTGATGGAGTTTGTGGGTGGATTCATTGCCACTCACCTTCCATCTCCCTTCATGGCCGTGAATCCACTTCGGTGCAACTCAGGAGGTGTGTGAGTGGGTGCTGAGTCAGTCAGTGCTGAAGTGCTAGTCACAGTCCCTCCGGGCCGCAGCAACCTGTGGCTGTGATGGAGTTTAAGGTCGGCTTCATACACACCCACTCTCTACTTTCCTGAGAGGATTCTAGAGGCAGATGGCCCCACTGCACTGCGTGACATCCCCTCCGGTCTGCTGTGAATGAGTTGTCGATGGCTTCATTGCGACACCCCTCCCATCCCCCTTCATGGCCATACTGCACGTGTTCCTGCCCATGGCAGCGGTGGCCCATGGGGGAGTTCATTTTCTCCTGTCCTTTCGCGTTTCCCTTTTTCCCTTGACTCAACTAAAAGGTGATTTCTCGGGGCAACTGGAGAAGCAGAGCTACAAGCTGCACGTGTTCCTGCCATAGCAGCAGCACTCACCCCTTTAACCCCCTGCCATCTCTTGTCTCCTATCCCTTTCCCAAAAACACCAATCAGAGGTGATTTCTCCGGCCACCTAAAGAAGCAGAGCTACAAGCGGCATGTGTTCCTGCCCATAGCAGCAGTGGCGGCGTTCATTCTCTCCCGCGCCGCTGCTGCCAACCTGCACACCGTGCTGCTCGCCTCGGATGGCACTGAAGCTGAAGTGGCTGCTCTCTCGCAAATACTCACAGGTAGGGGTTTGAGCTGCATGCTAGAGACAGTTTTGACTTTGATTTATATGCACGTGCTGCTGCTGTCAGCCTGTACACGCTGCTGCTCGCATCTGATGGCACTGAAGCTGAAGTGGCCGTGCCCTCGCAATTACTCACAGGTATTGAAGTGTCTGAATGTGGAGGTTTTGATTTTGCTTGACATGCGCGTGCTGCTGCTGCTGCCAACCTGCACACTGTGCTGCTACTCTCTGATGGCACTGAAGCTGAAGTGCCCATGCCCTCACCTCTTCCTCCCCACTTCTCCAGCCAGCAACGCCACAAGGCTAGTCACGCTGCACGAGAGTCGCTTCACATGGGCCGACACACACAACGAGCCCTGGGGGCGGGCGCTGTTAGCCCTGGAACAGAGCCTGCCCGAGGGGGGAGGCAAGGGGGTGGTGCGGGCACTGGCAGAGAAATACATATGTGCGCGGGCCCACGTGTTCTATGGCACTGTGTATTCCACGTTCTCCACGGATATCATCAGGATAAGGGCAGCGGAAGGGGTGGCGAACTGCATGGATGGGAAGGTGGGGGAGGAGGGATAGTGGTGGACGCTTGAGCATGGTTGTCCGTCCATTGCTGGAACTGCTTCTGTTATGCAGACATGGTAACACCGTCCACATGCAGGCCACACCAGAATGTATGTACCGTAAGATTGGGTGTGCATCCACTCGTGCATGCATGGGCTCTGTTGCATTCAGTAAGAGAATTCTCTCCCACAGTAGGGTACATCAACCAGAAAGGCATAATTGAGCGCACTCAACTCAACCCGCTAAAGTTGCCCTGAAGGAGATCTGCCATACATGCATGATTGAGAGCATGCATCCCACATGCGTGCCCGCATTGGAAACGCACATTCTCCCACACTGCACTGGGTGAGTTGACCTGGCTGCTGAGCTCACCGCACTCTACTGTCATGTATCCCTTGCTGCCGCACATCACGTAATCTGTCTGCTATCCCATGTCAGTCGGCTTTACAGTTAACTAAAAGGTTACCCCCTTGCTGCTGCTTCCAAGCACCCACTACGTATCATGTCAGCAAGTTGGCCTGTGTCTACTTGTCTGCTGCTGCCTTGCCTACCACCTTGGGCATCTTGTGTGTCCCGGCTGCAAACAGAGAGAAGAGAGATGGGGGTGCAGGCGGGGCAGAGAATGGGGAGAGAATGGAAAGTTCAGAGTCAGTGGGGACGCAGGAGGAGGGAAAGGCAAAAGGGTTGGAGATGGGAAAATGATGTTAGTGAGATGAGGCGACGGCGATGCACTGACCCTTCCACTTATCCAACCAAAGTCTCGGACACCTCTCTGCACACTCACACTTTCACACGCCCCCCCACACACACTCACAGTCCACATCCTTCAGCTTGCGAAGCAATCTCCACGAGCCACTCCGGTTTGACCTCCACGACCTGTCGCATGAACTCCTTGCTCGTGTAGACCAGCTCGTGGTATACCACCCACCCACCCACCCACCCTCTTCTCTTCCATTCCACACACACACACACACACACACACGCACACACACACACACACACAAACTAACACTCTTCAACAGGCGTTGGTCTAAGGGCGTGGGTCTAAGGGCGTGGGTCTAAGAGCGTGGGTCTAAGAGCGTGGGTCTAAGGGCGTGGGTCTAAGGGCGTGGGTCTAAGAGCGTGGGTCTAAGAGCGTGGGTCTAAGAGCGTGGGTCTAAGAGCGTGGGTCTAAGGGGCGTCAAAGGGCGTGGGACTAAGAGCGTGGGTCTAAGAGCGTGGGTCTAAGAGCGTGGGTCTAAGAGCGTGGGTCTAAGAGCGTGGGTCTAAGGGCGTGGGTCTAAGAGCGTGGGTCTAAGAGCGTGGGTCTAAGGGCGTGGGTCTAAGGGCGTGGGTCTAAGGGCGTGGGTCTAAGGGCGTGGGTCTAAGAGCGTGGGTCTAAGAGCGTGGGTCTAAGAGCGTGGGTCTAAGAGCGTGGGTCTAAGAGCGTGGGTCTAAGAGCGTGGGTCTAAGGGCGTGGGTCTAAGGGCGTGGGTCTAAGGGCGTGGGTCTAAGAGCGTGGGTCTAAGAGCGTGGGTCTAAGGGCGTGGGTCTAAGAGCGTGGGTCTAAGAGCGTGGGTCTAAGAGCGTGGGTCTAAGAGCGTGGGTCTAAGAGCGTGGGTCTAAGAGCGTGGGTCTAACAACGTGGGTCTAAGAGCATGGGTCTAAGGGCGTGGGTCTAAGGGCGTGGGTCTAAGAGCGTGGGTCTAAGAGCGTGGGTCTAAGAAAGTGGGTCTAAGAACGTGGGTCTAAGAGCGTGGGTCTAAGAGCGTGGGTCTAAGAGCGTGGGTCTAAGATCCTGGGTCTAAGAGCGTGGGTCTAAGAGCCTGGGTGCTCACGATGCTCTACTCACGATGCTCTGCTCACGATGCTATGCTCACGATGCTATGCTCACGATGCTATGCTCACGATGCTATGCTCACGATGCTCTGCTCACGATGCTATGCTCACGATGCTATGCTCACGATGCTATGCTCACGATGCTATGCTCACGATGCTATGCTCACGATGCTATGCTCACGATGCTATGCTCACGATGCTATGCTCACGATGCTATGCTCACGATGCTATGCTCACGATGCTCTGCTCACGATGCTCTGCTCACGATGCTATGCTCACGATGCTCTGCTCACGATGCTCTGCTCACGATGCTATGCACACTATGCTATGCTCACGATGCTATGCACACGATGCTCTGCTCACAATGCTCTGCTCACGATGCTCTGCTCACGATGCTATGCTCACGATGCTATGCTCACGATGCTATGCTCACGATGCTCTGCTCACGATGCTCTGCTCACGATGCTATGCTCACGATGCTCTGCTCACGATGCTCTGCTCACGATGCTATGCTCACGATGCTATGCTCACGATGCTATGCTCACGATGCTATGCTCACGATGCTATGCTCACGATGCTCTTCTCACCATGCTATGCTCACGATGCTATGCTCACGATGCTATGCTCACGATGCTCTGCTCACGATGCTATGCTCACGATGCTCTGCTCACGATGCTCTGCTCACGATGCTCTGCTCACGATGCTATGCTCACGATGCTAAGCTCACGATGTCACGATGCTCACGATGCTCTGCTCACGATGCTATGCTCACGATGCTCTGCTCACGATGCTCTGCTCACGATGCTATGCTCACGATGCTCTGCTCACGATGCTATGCTCACGATGCTAAGCTCACGATGCTCTGCTCACCATGCTCTGCTCACGATGCTCTGCTCACGATGCTCTGCTCACGATGCTATGCTCACGATGCTCTGCTCACGATGCTATGCTCACGATGCTATGCTCACGATGCTATGCTCACGATGCTATGCTCACGATGCTCTGCTCACGATGCTTGGGTCTAAGAGCGTGGGTCTAAGAGCGTGGGTCTAAGAGCGTGGGTCTAAGGGCGTGGGTCTAAGGGCGTGGGTCTAAGGGCGTGGGTCTAAGAGCGTGGGTCTAAGAGCGTGGGTCTAAGAGCGTGGGTCTAAGGGCGTGGGTCTAAGGGCGTGGGTCTAAGAGCGTGGGTCTAAGAGCGTGGGTCTAAGGGCGTGGGTCTAAGGGCGTGGGTGTAAGGGCGTGGGTCTAAGAGCGTGGGTCTAAGAGCGTGGGTCTAAGAGCGTGGGTCTAAGAGCGTGGGTCTAAGAGCGTGGGTCTAAGGGCGTGGGTCTAAGGGCGTGGGTCTAAGGGCGTGGGTCTAAGGGCGTGGGTCTAAGGGCGTGGGTCTAAGAGCGTGGGTCTAAGGGCGTGGGTCTAAGAGCGTGGGTCTAAGGGCGTGGGTCTAAGGGCGTGGGTCTAAGGGCGTGGGTCTAAGGGCGTGGGTCTAAGGGCGTGGGTCTAAGGGCGTGGGTCTAAGGGCGTGGGTCTAAGGGCGTGGGTCTAAGAGCGTGGGTCTAAGAGCGTGGGTCTAAGGGCGTGGGTCTAAGAGCGTGGGTCTAAGAGCGTGGGTCTAAGAGCGTGGGTCTAAGAGCGTGGGTCTAAGAGCGTGGGTCTAAGGGCGTGGGTCTAAGGGCGTGGGTCTAAGGGCGTGGGTCTAAGAGCGTGGGTCTAAGAGCGTGGGTCTAAGAGCGTGGGTCTAAGAGCGTGGGTCTAAGAGCGTGGGTCTAAGAATGTGGGTCTAAGAACGTGGGTCTAAGAGCATGGGTCTAAGGGCGTGGGTCTAAGGGCGTGGGTCTAAGAGCGTGGGTCTAAGAGCGTGGGTCTAAGAAAGTGGGTCTAAGAACGTGGGTCTAAGAGCGTGGGTCTAAGAGCGTGGGTCTAAGAGCGTGGGTCTAAGATCCTGGGTCTAAGAGCGTGGGTCTAAGAGCCTGGGTGCTCACGATGCTCTACTCACGATGCTCTGCTCACGATGCTATGCTCACGATGCTATGCTCACGATGCTATGCTCACGATGCTATGCTCACGATGCTATGCTCACGATGCTATGCTCACGATGCTATGCTCACGATGCTATGCTCACGATGCTATGCTCACGATGCTATGCTCACGATGCTATGCTCACGATGCTCTGCTCACGATGCTCTGCTCACGATGCTATGCTCACGATGCTCTACTTACGATGCTCTGCTCACGATGCTATGCTCACGATGCTATGCTCACGATGCTATGCTCACGATGCTCTGCTCACGATGCTCTGCTCACGATGCTATGCTCACGATGCTATGCTCACGATGCTATGCTCACGATGCTATGCTCACGATGCTATGCTCACGATGCTATGCTCACGATGCTCTGCTCACGATGCTCTGCTCACGATGCTATGCTCACGATGCTATGCTCACGATGCTATGCTCACGATGCTATGCTCACGATGCTATGCTCACGATGCTCTGCTCACGATGCTATGCTCACGATGCTATGCTCACGATGCTATGCTCACGATGCTCTGCTCACGATGCTCTGCTCACGATGCTATGCTCACGATGCTATGCTCACGATGCTAAGCTCACGATGCCATGCCACTGCCATGCCATGCCATGCCATGCCATGCCACTGCCATGCCATGCCATGCCATGTGCCATGCCATGCCACTGCACTGCCATGCCATGCCATGCCATGCCACTGCCATGCCATGCCATGCCACTGCCATGCCATGCCATGCCACTGCCATGCCATGCCATGCCACTGCCATGCCATGCCATGCCATGCCATGTCATGCCATGCCATGCCATGCCATGCCACTGCCATGCCATGCCATGCCATGCCACTGCCATGCCATGCCATGCGATGCCATGCCATGCCATGCCATGCCATGCCTTGCCATGCCATGCCATGCCATGCCATGCCATGCCATGCCACTGCCATGCCATGCCATGCCATGCCATGCCACTGCCATGCCACTGCCATGCCATGCCATGCCATGCCATGCCATTCCATGCCATGCCATGCCATGCCATGCCATGCCACTGCCATGCCATTCCATGCCATGCCATGCCATGCCATGCCATGCCATGCCACTACCATGCCATGCCATGCCATGCCATGCCACTGCCATGTCATGCCATGCCACTGCCATGCCATTCCATGCCATGCCATGT